GATAAGTGTTGGCTGCATCTGACAAAATTTTCGGTACAATTCGTCGATTTCTTCACAGGTTCTGCTGTGATGGTTTGGCCTGGTGATAAAAAGTTATAGTGGATCACACCAGCCGATGACTACCACACTGTGACCATAACCTTTTTGTCGTGAGGATTCGGCTTTGGAAATTGCCTCAGGGTCCGCCGGCATCCAACCACTGTCCGGAACGTCTCCTGTTATCATACATGACCCATTTTTCATCACAGGTGACAATTCGGCCCAAAACAGGTCGTTTCTGCTGCAAAAGCAATGCAGAACCTCGAGACGTGCCAATTTCTGCCGGTCACTCAAATTGTGGGGCACCCAATTGTCGAGTTTTTTCACCTTCCCAATGCGTTCCAGACCATCTGCAACAGTGGATTTGCCAACGCCTAGCTCTTCTGCTATCTCTCGAACTGTTTGGGATGGGTCAGCCTCCAAAATCCCCCTAAAATCCTCGTCAGATATTGCTTTAGGTCGACCGCTATGAGGTTCATCTTCAAGGCTGAAATCTCCAGAACGAAATTTGTTGAGCCATTGCCGCACAGTGCTTTCTCTAGCACTATTGGGCCCCCACACCTGGTTAATTTGTTGAGCTGTTTCGATTGCGGATTGCCCCAATTTATAGTCGAAGAAAAAATCGTCCGAAGTGCTCTTTTCACATGCTTGAAAAAATCTTGAAAAAAGGGGGTTTATCAACGGCAATTATACCATCAGATAGCGCAAGAAATTCTCTACAGGATGTGCTACTGAGAAGCAAGGCAGAATGAGTTTTTAATCAGCAGTGAATGTACAAAAATAGGTGCACAAAACGCTGAGAACTTTCCGGACAACCTAATAGCATGCCAAGATTGCAAGAGAGTCGCACGTGGACTATTCTCCAAAAGCTATTTCCTGTTTCACTGTTTGAGTATCTCTTTTTTTTCTAGTATTGGATGACACTTAGCATTGGAAGATGCGAAGAAACGATGTGTAAGCCAAAGGTTGCACAGAAGCCGCAGCGTGTTGAGTTGCCTATCAAGTCTGGAAAAGTCGTACGATGAAGCTGTGTGACTGTCAGGAGAGATGCTCTGTTCACGGTGTTCTGAACGCTCTTCTTTATGCCTCTTTCTCTGCTGCGAAGTCTTTTATCGGCTACTCCTTCATAAATGAACACCCACCACAACGGCTGTTGGCACGATAATTTGGTACTCGGTCTAGAATGGTAGTAGGGGTGCCGCATAGAGGGAAAAGGTTCCATCTAACAACCTCGTTTGACAGAAGTAATTGAACAATCCACAAAAAGCGTTAGTTCTGCACGACTCAGAAAGCAATTTCGGACGAGTTCCTCTTTGGCATCGTGCCAATAATCGCTACGGTAGATACGACTGCATGTATTTACTCATATATCCATGCAGCACTGCAGCTGCTTCATATCAATCCCTTCGCTTCCATAATGTACTTCGTAAATAAAGCGATATGAGCACCGGTCGGACATTTGGAGGCGGGCGAGCGCCGTGAGCGTCCAGCGCCTTATGTTGAAGCTTGTTAGGGCTCTATAATGGTATTTCTTTGGAAAAGACGCCATGCAGCGCTTGGTCACCATCAGGTGCGCCGAATTCAGTCCTGCTAGGCGTTAGTCTTGCATGCCAACTGCTTTTAATCGCGAAAACTGTCTTTATGAAGAACGAATCTTTTTTTAATTTCATGGTGGCCTTATAAATACTTACGCTTACTTGGTACGCTCTGTAGTTTGTTACAGCCCAGGTTTTATAGTAGAATTAAGTTCGTTTCCAAAAAGTGCCAGCAAAATTACGGAATTTTAGCTTTATTAGCATCATAAAGGACTATCTAAAGCCAAATACACAAAGCACAATAATTGTCTCAATCCTAATGTAAGTTTGTTAAAACAACACAAATTTAGAAAAAAAAAGAATATATGCTTCTTGGCAGCATTCCTTATCCCTGCACATCATCTGGCTTCTTGGGGAAGAAACGCTGAAGCTGTACATAATTCTGAAAACATTGGTTTCATTTCAAACCGCCTTTGGATTAAATAAAATTGTAAAAAGTGACTGCGAACCTGTGGAGTGACAGTGAAACGATGAGAAACACCTTGTGGAATCACAATTAGATCGCCTCGTTCAAGTTGGATTCGAATCCATTCATCCTCCTACAAAGCGTGCTTTGACCAACATTGAAATTGAATAGGACTGCAAAAGAAATTTACCTCAGGCTCCACATCGTAATAGCAGGAACCTTCCAGGACCATCGATACTACGTCCTGTGCTTTTGTCGTCGGCTCGTAATACCCCTCAAGCTGTAAATCATTGATAACTTTTGAAAAAAAAACATATAATGCCTTAAGAGCTTCTCGATCAGTATTCTAACTCTACCTATACTAAAATCGACAAGTCGACCTAACCCCTGTTCATTTTGTCAATACTGAACCTCTATAATTTAGCGGGCCATATGGGAATTTAAAAACTCGACAAGCGCAATTTATCGTGATTATTCTAGAGTCGCTTTTTTAGTCTACTCATTGTTTCTCCCAACCAACACGGATGCTTTTCGAACTGTCTCAAAAATTTGGAAATTGATCTAAAGCAATGCCAGTTAGGGGCGCGCAATTGCTGGAAAATGGTTTGTTGCGTTTGTATGTAGGGGTCCATACAAGGATCACAAAAATGGGTTTCATTTTTGCTATGCGTTTCTGGGGAGGTCAAAAACTGAGTGAAAAGAATTTGACAAGAATGGGCGATTTTAACTATCTTAATGGGCTCCGTTCTTATTGTAACTTTTTTTTCTCAGCTTTCTATTAATTCGGTCCTGTGTGTCTAGCAGTGGAAATAAGCCAAGTATATGCCATTTGAAGGCATATTCTTCATTCTGATACCTTACAAACCAGCTCGGTTGTGTGGAGAAGCCTGTTTCCGGGAATGAATAGAAAGCTGAGAAATGCAAAAAATTTGCCACAAGGACGATCCGATCCACAAAGTCCCGTGTAGTCGTCCCATCCAGAATCCAACGAGTTATTCTCTATCCGATCCGCCGACAGTGAGCATGAGGGACCGCTGACAAAAACATCACTGTTGCGTCGGTGCCTGGTGCCAAGTACTACATGACAATATATTTTGTTTTTATTTTAAACTGCTTTTGAAGCCTAATTAACGAGCACCTCATAAACTATGCATGCTCGAAGTTACAATCAGAACGGAGCCCATTAAGATAGTTAAAATCGCCCATTCTTGTCAAATTTTTTCACTCAGTTTTTGACCTCCCCAGAAACGCATAGCAAAAATGAAACCCATTTTGTGATCCTTGTATGGACCCCTACAACAAGCAACAAACCATTTCCAAAAAGCGCGCCACGACCTGAAAGACCTCCCTTGTTAGGTACAAAGCAAATGAACGATGATGAAATAAGAGGAAAGGTTTTTTCTCAGTTCCAAACTTTGCATGGGGTAAAATCTCTATTGTGCCCTCACTTCTGCCCAGCTTATTCGCGGTTCTGAAGTGAGCGAAGAACCCGTGCCTAGGACGGAGTGGCCTTTGTAGCTGGAAATCGAAGCGTGCCTTCCATGCGAGAAGACGTCTATCCTATCAGGTAATCGTATCCCGTGCCTGCAAGGTCCACTCTATGCACAAACTCTGTCGGGATCGTGTTTGAAGACAAACTGCACACTGATCTCCAAAGACGGTCCTTGCTATATGAGAGGCTAATGAGTCCGTAGCTGTACTAGCATGCTACTTTCTGCGGTAAAAAGAGCACGACAACGGGACTAGCGTTATCAGAACTCTCTACAGATGCCCTCAAGGTGCAGCACTTAGCAAGCGCAAGCGAAACACGCACTGAGCAGCAGAGAAGGACCAGAGGTGATACAGCGCAGGAAAGTTGGCCACCGTGAAGCGTGTAGCTGGCCGTGCGGCAGCGCAGGGAGTATGGGGACGGCACTCCGGGTACCATTACCTTTCATTCCCGTTCTCGTGTACGTTTAACGGGAAAAAGTGGCACGCTCCAGCAGCTGCGGACCCATTCTCTATACGAAGTGTTTCTCTTCAAAGGGCTTGAAACGCTGGCACTTACAACTAGCGGATGACTCGCCACTTAGTTTTGCTACTCAGGCCAGGATAGTTACGGGAGGTTCGAAATAGCGAGGCTTCACAAAAGTCAATACCTTTTCGTCAAAGTCTGGCGTTGTGCCGTTGATGGTGAGCACATCGGACGAGACCACCTTTCTCTCGTTTTTCACCCTTGAGAGCCGCTTCTTCATGGCCACGGTGTCGTCCAAGTCTACCTAAAACGAACAAACCTCCGTTTCTATTGAAAAGTTCAGTTCCGGTGGTACAAGTAGGGAGCCGGCAATACACATTGACAGATTCAGTGCGAAGTT